TATCTTGCTGTTGTTTGTTATGTGTGCTCTTGTTGATAAATGTTTTGTTGTTTGGTTGTTCAATGATTGGATTTTTTGATTTTTTTTTTTTTTTTTTTGGGGGGGGGGTCTGATGTTTGTTGTGTGATTGTGATTGTGTTTGATTGATGTCTTTTTTGTGATGAATTGTTTTGTGTTTTGATTTTTGAATTTTTTTTGGGGGTTTGGGGGGTTGGGTTGAGTTTTTAGTCTGGATGTTGATGTGACTGATTTTGTGTGATATGTTTCGCTGAATGTGTTACCCCTGTGCAATCAGCGTCATGTGTGTCTTTTGTGTTGTTGCTATTGAACTGTTATGTTGTTGATCTTTGTGGTGTATGCATATCTGGTGCTCTCCTGTTGTTGTAGTTTTGATGTTGGCTGTTTTTTTTTGTTTTTTTGTTGTTGTTGATTGTTTTTGTTTTTTTGTGTTTGTGTGTGTTGTGTGTGTTTGATTGTGTATTTTGTTTGTGTGAGTGTTTGTTGAATTTGTTTGTTGTGATGTGTCTGTTTTTGTGTTTGTTGGTTGTTTTTGTTTTGTTGTTTTCGTTTGATGTTGTGTAAAATTTTTTTGTGTTTTGTTTTGTGATTTTTGTGTTTTTTGTTTTTCTTCTTGTGTGGTTTTTGTTGTGTTTTTTCTTTTTTTTTTTTTTTTTTTTTTTTTTTTTTTTTTTTTTTTTTTTTTTTTTTTTTTTTTTTTTTTTTTTTTTTTTTTTTTTTTTTTTTTTTTTTTTTTTTTTTTTTTTTTTTTGTTTTTTCTGTTTTTTTGTTTGTTATTTTTTGTGTGTTTTTTTTTTGTTTGTGTGATTGGTGATTTTGTTGTTGATGCTGTGTGTTGAGTTGTTTTGTGGTCATTTTGATGTTGTTGGTTGTTTGTGGTTTGTTTTTTTGAAATGTTTGTGACTTTGTTTGTTGGGTGTGTGTTTTTTTTGTTTTTGTGTTTGTTTTTGACTGTGATTCCTCGTGTTGTTGAACTGTTTGTTGTACTGATTGTGACTGTTTGATTTTTGCTGTTTGTTTTTTTTCTGTTTCGCTTTCTGATTGTTTATTTTTGGCTGTTTTCTTTTGTTTTTCTTCTGATTTTGTTTATATTTCTGATTTTGTTCTGTTGTTATATTGTCGTATTGAATTGTTTTGTGTGATTTTTTTTTTTTATGATTGATGGTTCTTATTGTTGTCTTTTGATTTTAATTTTCTGTGTACTATTTTCTGTGATATTTGGTGGTTGGAATGATTTTGTTTGAGTTCTTTTTGTCTGTTATTTGTTCTTCATGACTTTGATCGTGTGTTGATCCTTTCACTGATTTTTGTCTGTTGTTTTAGGTTGTGTGCCTTTTCTGGTAACCTTGGGTGTTAATCATGAGTATTGCTGTTGTTTTGTGTACTCGTCTGTCTGATGGTTTTGTGTGTTATGATTGTTCTTACATTTCTTTTTGTGCGTTGTGATTATTTGAATTGTGCAATAGGTGTTGGATTATGACCTAACGACAAAGTTGGCCGGGGGCACTTTCCGTGTTCCCCACCCATTGTATTCTAGAGTAGGCTTAAGAATTTCTGAGAAGACTAATTATAATTAGAAGCATTAGGTCATGATTTTCACGGTGCACTCAAAATCTGCGTATTTATTTAGAATTGACGACCACCCTTCTACTTGATTCGTGTGTTTGGTCATTCGAGGCTTCTTAGACGTGCACTGTGAATAAAGCTGGATTTAACAAAAGAGGAGACGGTCTCACCTTGAAGTTGAAGAAAGAAACAGCAGATGAGTTTGAACATCAGAAGGCAAACGTCATGGAACACAGGAGGCTGCAGTGGACCACTCACTACACACTGAACTACTGGTTCGACAGTTGGAAGGATACTTTGATCGAGTTGGGCTTTGCAAGAGAGAAGACCGCCGCTGATTCATATGTCGATGACAGTGGAAATGCAGTCGGTGAACTCGTGTTCTTCGAGGGGCAAGAAGATCGGATTATCAACTTTGATGAAACCGACGGATCACTCGATGACACAACAGGATGCAGAGGTGGAAGGCCCTCACTTATCTTCATGTGCCCCGACATTGCTGGAGGTGGAACAGCAGTGAATAGAAGTGGCTATTCATGCACAGTCATTTGTGGGAGCACAGCTGCCGGTGATCCAATACCACCGCATTTTCAGTTGAAGACATTGGCAACTGCTTCTGAAAGAGAGCGAATTGGTATTGATTGGTTCGAGTATACCAAAGATACTATCGTTGGCAAATGGGGCTTCGATGAAAGGAGGACAATGCCCTGCACTTTTGGAATGAATGAAAGAGCAGGTATGAATGCAGTTGAGCTTGACAAATACATGAAGAACTCAATCCTTCCTCTCTATCCAGATGTTGAGGACAAACCTTTGAAGCGAGTGCTGCTGAAGGCTGACAGTGGACCTGGCCGAATGAACCTCAAGATGCAAGCTGATCTCCGACTGCAAGGAGTGTATATCACACCCGGTGTTCCCAATTCCACAAGCATCACTGAAGAGACCGACCAGATTTATGGCATCTACAAGAGTTCTTTTCGCGAAAACCTCAGATCATTGTCACAGATCAGGTTCGACAAAGGCCTCACACTGCAGGTCGCTGACTTGCCGCTTCTTGTTTTTGGTGGGAAGTGTCCGTCAACAGGTGTCCGGCTAAGGGATTCCTTCTCAGCAGCCTTCAGCGTCATAAGAAACCGGTCTGTCTGGAAGAAATGTGGCGCTGTTCCCCTTACAAGAGAACCCTTGTTTTTGGCGAGTCTTCGACATGAAGTTCCTGATGGCGGAGCTGCATCAGTAGGCGCGGCTGGTGGGGAAGAAGAAGATCCAGAAGTCGCGAAGCTCAAGAAAATAGAAGAGTTGAACCATTTTTTCTGTGATTTCCTTTCCTCGAATGGGATGCTGGGAGACAAGTTGAAGAGAAAGGCTCCAGTTCGATCCACGTTCGTGAAGGTGACACAGGCCCATTCCAAAGAGCGAATCAAGGCCATCAAGTATGCCAAAACTGCTGGCCAAATGTTTTATGCCACAGGTGGTCGGCACATGAACACAGATGAATTCTTCAAAGCCAGAGAACTCGCCAACAGAGAGGAGAAGATCAAAGCCCTCGAGGATGATAAGAAGGCGCGGGTTGTTGCGTATGACACAGAGGTTGCTGCGAAGGCATTGATTCAGCAGAAGGGAGAGCTCCAAGCCGATGGAAAAGGATTTGTTGTCGCAGACCTCAAAATCCTGGCCAAATGGAAGAAAATATCTCCCCTCCCATCCAAGAAAGCAGACCTGATAGTGGCCATTCGCATGACCGATGTACCACTCCCTGCCAACCCGTGGACGGATGCTGAAGAGAAGGAGCTTGCCGATATGAAGTCTGTGGACTTGCAAGTGAAAGACACGGCGATTGGCGTGGCAGCGTGTCAAATGGCAAGGGCGGTGACCAACAACATGTCCAATTTGGACCCCCAAACAAGGGCAAAGCTCAAAGCCGCTCTTCAGGCATCGGAGTATGGTGAACCTACTACTACAGAGTAGCTTTGCATGGCTCTAGAGGCAGCTGAAGTTGTCCGAAACAGCGTCGTTTCATCATGGTCGATGTTGTTGTTCTTTGTTGTTTTTCTTCGATTTGTGTCAGTCACTAGAAAAATGGATTGGTCTTGGCTTAGTCCCTAACAAATAAGACTGTATCCGGTTAACCCAGTAAGCTTTCACTTAAGGATTTTACATACGATTTTACTAAGCTGGAAGTGAGTCTTCCCCGCCGTAGGATTTTGTACCAGGGCTACGGGTAAACCCCATAACTGCTGCTAAACTAGTACTTGTACTAAAGTGAAAATAATGACCCAAACCCGGAAGTGGTGACGAGGCCCACGAAAACAAACTAATAGTCTGATGATTCAATCCTGAGAGGAACTGTGCACCAACGAGCTAGCCATACGAACGTTTCTTCCTCTTCATGATTATGGCATTGCTCAGTAGACAGATCACGTGTTGCTACTGACGGTGCCTATGTTTGGGGTAAAGCAATGAGCTACATTATACATTTACTTGCTTCGAAAACTCCTCATACATTGTCACATCGCTCGTTGTCTTCAGTTGAGTTGAGGAGCCTTGAGTGATACGTTTGGTTGAACCATCCATGGGATGCTATAACCAGGGAGGGGGCAACAAGACCCTAGTTTGCCTACCGGTACTAATACTCGTTTGTTCCCCTCCCTCTCTACATCAAACTACACGTACTGTACTTGGACTCAGCACCGTCATCGGAGCCACCACAGTAGAGTTGCTTTGCCGGTTCGACCTTCTTCCATGCCCTGGTCTTTTCATCCCATTCCTCCTTGAGGTATTCGAAAATGATTTCTCGTTTGTCGGGCGCATCGTAAGGCGGCAAAAAGTTTGGTTCGAACTTGTGGGAGATGTTGTTCCTGTCGGTGAATAGATAGATTCCACTTCCAAAGTTGCATGCTCCAGGTTCTGGTGCCTGCAAGGGTTGGGGTCCTTGTTCATTCCACTTCTGAATGGCTCTGGAGCACATCTTGAAGTATTCAGCTCTGTGTTCGGGCGAGCGGAACTCTGCTTTACGCACAATAGTTGAATGGAAGGCACCCGGCGTGAACCTGCTGGCAAAGGAGAACTGTTTGTAGAGCTGGTTTTGAATGAACCGCAAAGGCCAATTGGTTGGGAGCTTGGCTGTTTCCGGGTTGGCAAGGAAGGCGCTGACTTCTTTTTGGTCCATGTCGAATCGGATCTCGATTTCTGGTGGCAGGTCTGGATTGGCGACTACGGCTGATGGTAACACCATGATCTGAGGGATCATGATCTTTCCCGCTTTCAAGGCGTCCAGCATGCTATCTCGATCCAAGCCACCCCATTCGGTCGAGTAGGTTCCAATTCTCATAATCTCAACGTGAGCGCTGTCTGGAGCTGCGAGTTTGTAGGATTTGGGAGGACCTGGCTCTCCACCACCCACTAGCCAACCATCATCATTGGTGGCGAAGATGTACTTGTACTATTTGACATGTAGATTGTGGTTTGATTCGATTGGTGCAATTTTGTCGGAGAAGGTGACATCAAATGAATTGAAATAACATCAGAAAATCAAACCAAGCATGGTTGTCTCATTTGACAGTCCTTCTGCAACATCAACAATGCTGACAAATCGCTTACCTCGCGGTCAATGACTTCGTTGAGGTCAAATGCAGATTGGTTCGTCACCGATTCTGGATGGCCCAGCTCGGAGTAGCGCGTCAGGGACAGGCCCAAAAAGGCGAGGCCATCCACCTTGGACTTGGAAGGATCGAGAACGGGAGGCTACGCCAAAACGAAAAAGGATAAGATGACAAAGCCTGGTAAAAAAAGCACTTCTCCCTTCACGCTTGCATGAGCACCACTCACCATCGTCAACTAACTTTTCGAAAGAGAAGAGAAACCAAAAGAAAAATGAGGAACGTTGATTTCAAACCAAACTGTCTTACCTCCTCCATCTAAAAGTCCAGCGCGAGCCTAGAGTATCAATCCCCCGGGACATCGGCAGGCGCACATTGTTTAAGCCCGCAGTGATGCTAAATTGAATCTTCCATCTCAAGAGCTTGTCTTCCCTTCTCATTGCATTCCAGCATTCCAGCTATCGATAGATGCAGCATTGCTGCTGTCAGGTTCTGAACCAATGGCGACATCGAAACCACAAGATGAAGGCTTTGCGATACCGCAGATAGACATGTCCAAAGATGAAGAATCTGTGGTGGCAGAGCTGTATGCAGCGCTGACAACCACCGGTTTTGCAACGCTGACAGGACACGGCATCAGCAAGGAACTCCGAGAGAAGGCGTTTGCTGCTTCCAAGGCATTTTTTTTGCTGCCGACCGAAGAGAAACTCAAGTGTGCCTATCAAGGCCATCGGTCCAACAGAGGATACATTGGCATTGGAAAGGAAACTCATGAAACCTCTGCTTCTTCGGACTATAAGGAGACATTTGACATCAACGTGGACGAATCATCCGGATTTTCCCAACCGTGGCCAAGTTCTACCGGTAGTGGACCCCTGGAAACGTTTCAGCAAAATCTGATTGCATACTTTGATGCGATGGACAAACTTCATCTTACTGTTATGCGTCTCATTTCCATTGGATTGGGACTTCCACCGAATTATCTGTGTGACCGTTGCAATGAACGTCACGAAAACTTGAGGCTTCTTCATTACCCGCACATGCCAGTGAGCAATAGTCCGAGCAAGGAACCTCGATCTCGAGGAGCCATACATTCGGACTTTGGTACCATTACACTGCTTAATCAAGACGGCGTAGGAGGTCTTCGTGTGCAATGCCGTAATGATACTTGGGTATTTGTGGAACCAGTCGATGATGCTGTCGTTGTGAACGTGGTAAGAACTGTCTCAGGCTCTGGATGATCAAACTCATGTCCAACGAGTACAGTATGGTTCTCTCATTGCATTCATATTTGAATTGGATCATCGCTTTGCCCGAAGGGAGATATGCTGCAACGATGGACAAATGGCATTCTGAAAGCGACCCTACATCAAGTGGTAGAGGTTCCCAGCAAGAACGGCGAGACATACATCCCAGAGCGCTATTCTATCGCATTCTTTTGCAATGCAAACAAAGATACATTGCTCGAATGCTTACCCCCATGCGTTTCAGAGGACAGACCAGCCCAATATGAACCGGTCAATGCACATGACTATCTGACTATGCGCTTATCGGCTACCATTGACGCCTCCTCGTCGTGAACCCACAGCTGCTATGGCGAGCTCCTGCGCTGGCTTTGGTTATGTCAACATCTCTAGTAGGGGTTGGTCAAGGTACACGTAGTAGTCGAGCATGATAAGCAAAAGACACCGTGGCAGCAATATAAACACTTTTTGTTAGTAGCCTCGTCTTGTATTGTATCTTCGATTCCGCCTAGAATCCCCAACGCTCATTGCCAAAGCCAGACATCCAGCGGCAAGCATGAAGGATCCGACTGCCACGGTGCTCCAAAAGTACTTTCGTTCGATGTTGCTTATTGTTTTGGAGTCGTCGGGATCGTCTTTGGCTGAATCATCGCCATCCGGTTCTGTCTTTGGTGGCTCCGCCTTGGGTTGGTCCGGCGGAATAAAAAGTTCTTTCAGCTCGGCCTTGATCGTCACGGCTTTGGCCCCAACACTCTCCACTGGCTCGTCCTTCGGCTTCGGTACATCCACAGCATCCACTGGTGGTCGCAATGGGGTAAGGTCTCTCCAAGTTTTGTTGCTTGGATTAGCAGCTTGATCGGGGGCTTTCGACTCGACCTCAGCCAGAGCGGGGGGCTTGCTTGGGACGTCTGGCTCAACAGTAATAACCTGGTCCTCCGTTTCGGGGCTTTCGGTGCCGCCCTCAACGACTGCATCATGGAAGAAATTCTGAGGAGAAGCCAGTGAGAGGTTGCATCAACATTGAAAACTTCAGGGAATACGTCGAATCTTCCTCACCTCGAGCTCCTGGCAAGTCAGGCCTTCTCTCCCAATCATTTCAAGTGGGGCTGTGTCGAATCGTGAGGGGTCAGAGTCTCTGTCCTGTTCGTGCATGTGAACTGGGAATTGAATCGTCAGGAGGATATTAATAGTGTCATCAGGTAAACTGGTAACATAGGACTCGACTCATCAAACTTACGAGGCGTTGCGGTGGCTCCGGGGCTGGTGGGAGTTGGAGGAGGAAAATATGAGGTGGACAGCATAGTAGAAAAACGGGGCAAAAGAAAGCTCAACATTCGGCTTCCTCGACTCACGAGAAAAGAATCTCCACCCGGAATCGTCTATGGTCGCTGAGCTCCCATCGATTGTCTTCAAATAGGCGCATGACGATCTGGGTGAGATAACAAAGCTCATTGGTTCCATTGAGGATGTTGATGCCTTGCTCAGACAACACCGCTGATCGGTCTTTGGCAAAGCGGAGAACGTTCAGCATTGTATGCAGATGCGATTCCGAGGTAAACTGATTGTGAAAGAAGAATGAGTAATGGAGGGACGGGGTCAGGACACACGGTGGTCAGTCAGGTGTTTTACTCCGGCTTCATGCTTTCTTGAACGAAATCTCATACTTACATACAAACGAGTTCGAACACGACGACCCATCGTATTGATTGGCAGGTCACTGGAGTAGTCCATGTTAATCATGTAGCGCATATCCACTTCATTGTCAGCACGAGCAACAGTCAAATCATAGCTTCGTCGACCGGATCGAATCAAAGAGTGAGCACCAATACGCTTGGCAAAAAGCACAAAATGGCTTTTCCGTTTACTTACGTTATCTTCTCTAGCAGTGACTTGCAAATCTTGACCCCAACGCTTCGTTTTTCTTGAAATGTCGTTCCGTATTCCTGGGGGACTACACAGTCGGCCATGGGTTTGGCCAAGTTGTATAGTTTCTCCAGTGTTGACGACAAGCCCAAGTGTGGATTGTGCAGCACACTAGCGAAAGCCAATGTGAGTGAAGACTTTGAAAACCGACAGTTTCAAACCAAGCACAACCAATACTCACTCGAACCTCACATTGTCGTGCACGCTGCAGTAGGATGAGCACAGTCAATTGATCAGACTTGCTGCGGAATCAAGCAAGACCAGAAAGCCAGCCAAGGAAGAACTTACTCGGGCACACGAGACAAATCAAACATATCCGTGTCCGAATCATACAGGTTCTTGTACAGGAAGCGCCATCTTTCCGTCAACTCCTAAAAGGACATCAAAGCGAGAACGGCGCAAATGAGCATCGCCAGCCAACCAACCAAGCGTAAGACAAAACAAACAACATATCACTCACGAGCAACGTCTCTCCTTTGTAGAGTTTCACACCGCTCAGAGCGACATCATTTTCATCGTCGCCCTTCAAGCCTTCCCCGCCTTCGATACGCTTTTCGTCACCACTTCCCATCATTCCGAGCATTTCTTCGAGTTGGTCAATGAGCTCGCCCATGGTACGGTGAATTTGCATCAGAGTCTTCCTGGGATTGCGAATGGCTTTGAGGGCTCTGTGCAACGAGGTCAGTTCTTGCGGACCAACCAGTTGCTCTCGCTCTTCGGGGGTTGCTTTGTCCACGTCGATGTCCTTTTGTAGATTTGCTGTGATCTTTTCTTTGCATTCATCCAACTCCATTTTGACCTCTTTATTGCCAGACGGGTCAAGCATGTGCATGCTGCCCTTCTCCTTGTGAACTAGGGACACCAAAATAGGCGGAAGGTCCCCTTCTAGCTCCAGCAAGCCTTTTGCGAAAGCAGCAGCTGTTTTCATGACACGTCCTTCGTCACTTGTTTTGATCTTCAGGTCGTGTCTAAAAGTACTATGTAAACGAAGGATGCCTCCACCCTTTTGGTACAGTGCGGTTGAGAAACACGCATCAAGGAGGCGGTTTCAAAAGAAGCTTCAAGAACTTACGGAAACATCTGGGTATGCGTCGCGACGAACTCTGCGGCCTAACCTGAGCGCCTGGTTTTCTCCTGTTCAGAGAAGACAACGGTTTCTGGTCAGATAAAGGTATAGCATCGGCCTCGCAGGAAGCAAGCGACCAACTTGGGACAAACATGAAAGCTTACCAAGCCGCGTGAGATTGCCGCCATACTTAAATACGAGCTGTACCGAAGTGCACCGCGTTTTCTTGTTTCCATCGTCGTCAACATACTCTTTAAACTTCTTTGGCTTCAGTTGAAGTTTCCTGTTAAGCGAAATTTTTTAGAAGGAATGCTGATTGATGATAGGCCGAAAACCACATTCCCATGCAGCTTCTTACCTGTTCATGCCTGCAATGCGCCAGCGCTCCAAGATGACGCGAATATGCCGGAGCTGATTTTGTAGAACCTTGTCTTTGTCGCCTGGCCTATCAGCAAGATCATCCATTGTCTTCCTGATTGTCTCCAGGAACTCAGTCATGGGGGCCTTTGCTTTCACTTTGAGTTCTTTGCGACAGTCGTTCGTGTGATCATGAAAGTACTTGAGGATGGACGGTTCCTTCGCAAAGATCCAATTCCATGCACGTTAGAATACACGCAATGATTCTGCACGGGTTAGTTTCAGAGAAACTTACCTTCATGTTCACCTTGAGCTTTTGTTTAGGCGTTCTGTCCCCGTGCCGAACCACGGCAATGACACAGCGAAGCTCCTCGTCATGTGAATCTACCACACTGATGCTTCCCGATCGTGTCGCCCTATGCATCGGTTCCATGTCACCTGCCTGGGAGTTGACCTCCGAGTTGCACATGCTAGCCGGTTCCGACAAGAGATGGTTTGGAATATCGCGAACGGGCGGTGCACCCTCGTCGATCAGTGTTGCTGCTGCAGCTGCCAAAGCCTCGGCCGAATCACCCCCCGACGACCTGGCAGGGGAATTGATTGGTTTTGGTTTCTGTTTGGTAGTTGGCTCACCAGTTGAGTTTTCGTCGCTGTCGGCTTCTTCGTCTGCTGGTTCTCCCTGGAGCATTCGTGTTGCGCGAGACAGAAACGTGTCTCTCTTTGAGTCTCTCTTTGACAAAGGCGCAGCATTGCCGGAAAGGTCAGCAGAGGTGTATTCAATACGGTTCACATTTGTGATCAAAGGATCCAGAGTGGAGAATACAATGGACGAACCAGGCTTTACAGTTGCTAGTATATGTTCCATCATAATCTGAAGTAGCAAAAAGGATGAGAGGATTGACATGGAAAGAAATGCAGCAAATCCAACGCGGCGACGTTTCAGAGAGATGACATGTACCCACCTGCGAACAATCATCGTAATACTTTCTGTACAGTAAGTAGAAGCGGCATGAATGTGAGGAATGAAATGAGCAGACCAACAAACGCTCAAATCAGGACAACACAAGTAAGTTTAGCTGATACTTGCCTGCTGTTTTTTACAAAGCTGAATCCATTTACGTCGCACACATAAGACACCACCTGATGACATGTTGCAGCAGCACAGATGCATAGCATAGTAAGCCTTCTTTTCATCATCATTCAACAATCGTCAAGTGTAGATTGCAGCCGCATGGACGATAGACTCGACTCGACTCGTGTCACTCAACTCACCTGATCATCCACTTGCACGCGTAGCAAGTCAAATCCACAAACAAACTGTTTGAAGACCAATACAATCCTTCTGGCGATTTCCTTTTCTCGCAGCGTCAATATAACTGGAAAGCGCACTTCCTTTCCATCCGAGTTTCGTTCCACCTTTCCATCGACGGTGGGGCTTTTGCGTGCCTCGGCATGTCCGTACTCGGGTCCGACCGTGTACATTTTCACATCCGTCCCCTGGGTTTCGACGAAAGCTTCATAAATGTAGGATCCATCGCGCCGTACTTCATTAATGTCGGGGTAAAACTCGGAACTTCGATTGCCAATTTTCCGAAATAGTTTTTTGCATCCGCCTCCCGCTGAAGTTGGGTAGTAAATTGCAATATTGTGATCGTCAGCATCTACGGGTTTTTCAACGAATGGTTTGTGAATGGTAACGCCATTGACTTCAATGTGATCGTCATGCTCTACGACTTCTTGATCTCTGTTTCCATTGCCATCCCCTGATCCCGTGGATACGTAGTCATCTCTGCTGAGGTATACATGCCTGGGAACATCAATGCCACTGCGTTCGAGTAGATCATATACTCGTCTTCGATCCTTGAGCGTTTGTTGCATTTCTAGGTCATTGATGGTGAATGGTTTTCGCAGTTTGACATACTGCATGGCTTTTTCGAGAGGATATCCTTTGGAAAAAAAGGCAATAAGGACATGACAGACGGGCCATTCTTCGATGGGTTTGTTGAGTATGACGTCATCTCCAAAGAATACGACATGAAAGACTTCTTCATCTAGTCTGGACAAGATCTCTGCCATGGGCTTGGACCTGGCTTTCTTGTCCATGGCACAGATTCCCAATCGGATTCGGTCATCGTCTTTTTTGTCATCGGACGAGCGCGACGCGGGGATAAAGGGAATTTGAGCAGCCGATTGTGTGTGTTTGTGTTTTTTCTTGGACTGTTTGGTTTTGACAATGGCAGCCGTGGGAGTTGTGTTGCTGTTCGTAGTAGATTCGGAAGCTTGAGATTCGCCTACTATGGATGCCGATTTTGAGTTCGAGGATGACACTGCAGTCGTAGTCTTTTCGGTTGCATTCTTGCTACTGTTGGATTCCATCTTTGGCTTTTTGTCAGGGGGTTCAGAAGTAGAGGCAGATGCAGATGAAGAAGCCTCGGAAGAAGCAGGAACGACTGCTCCAGATTCCATCACCATGGTTGCTCTTGGGCTACGAAATGTAGTTGTTTGTTGTTGGATGAAACTTCAAAGTTGTGCAGCAGCATTTGACGCCGTCGATTTTCCTCGCCCGGGTGGACAAAAAGAAGATACCAACCAAAGAAATTTAAGCACTATCTCTAAGAAACAACTAGCTAGTCATGAGTTGAAACATGGTTAAGACGTCAGCATCCAGCGGCAAATTCATCCGAAGCCAAAGCAAAACAAGCACACTTGACTTGACATCCTCCCATCTCCCATTGATCAAGCGAACGCAATCTATGATACCATAGCAATTGTCCGCTTGACTTGGACCATAGACGAGTAGCATCGAACCCTTGAGTCTAAGAAAGTGTAGAAGGGTTTGCCAATGGCTAAAGCAAGATAACATACGGTCAGATGCTTGAGGGAGACCAGAGTTAGTTTCTCATCACTCCTTTGAGCACAACAGGTATCATACCGAAGCCATTGCTACCGTCGATCCAAGCGAAGTGAAGAATGGGCGCTTGCAATTCCACCAGATCCCGCTTTCGCGCCAGGGAAGAAGATACAAGCCGTCATGTAACATATTCCTTCCACGAGAACTTGGTGCGACAAAGAACTGGAAGACATCGATTTGACCAGATCTACGAAGTCCTGGTAAGCTACAATCCACATACCGTACATGTATTTGTGTGCTTTACATGATATTGCTGCTGTTTCTAACTAACTGCGCGTCTGTTTCTTTTGGGCGGTAGGAGGAGATTGGCAACAGCGGCCTATGCACAATTTATCGCTTGCGAAGACGACAAATCTCCACAGGCGGTGGAAGCTCCACCAAGAAGCTGGCTGCAAGACGCAATTCATGGAACCGATTGAAGAGTGGAAGATTCAATCATCGACAACAACCAGCATCATCACCACCCAAACGAGAAGAGCCAGTGGCCGAAGGCTCCGCCAATAGCAACAACAACAAGGAAATCTTCTTCGCTCTCAAGGTCAGCTCGTTGTTGTCTCTTTCTTGGGTGATACCGTCGCCTTCAAAAAGTGCACTCATTCATGTTATGTTCCATTCCATTGTCATGTTCTACATTTATTCAAATGAAGGTGATCCACCTTTCGCTCGTGCAAGAGGACAAAATTGATCAACTCACCAGTGAGGTCGAATTCCTCAAAACATTGGACCACAAAAACATTATCAAAGCGTACGAAACTTTCTCATTCCCACACACCAAGACGCTAGAGATTGTCATGGAGCTATGCACAGGTGGGTACCACGCTACACTGAAAAAACAAACAACACGGACATGAAATGAAATGAAAAGCAAAACAATCCACTCATCTCGCTTTGCTGTACTCAATGCCCTGCACGTCACAGGGGGTGACTTGCACGCACGTATGCCATATACCGAGGCCAGTGCTGCCAATGCACTCAAACAGATTCTCAGTGCCATTTCCTACGTGCACGATCGAGAAATCATACACAGAGACATCAAATTGTACGTCCCTTCACTTCACTTACTTCATTGATACTGTAGCCAGGGTATCGCGACACTGTTCCCATTCAACTTCACCCTCACAATACATTATTAATGCTCATCAACAGCGAGAATATCATGTATGAAAGCAAGCATCCGGAGGCCTGTATCAAAGTGATTGATTTCGGATTGTCCAAACAGTACTCCATGGATAATCCAGTTCTTACCGAACGAGTTGGCACACTGTAAGTACTGTTCCAACCCAAGCCTTCTGGCTAGGCTGCAAATTAATTGCACTCAGACACTTAACTACCGTATCGTTCGGACACTTGCAGTTACTCCATGTCACCCGAAACCATGCAGGGACACTACACGACAAAGTCGGATCTATGGTCGATTGGGGTAGTGCTATTCATGATGTTATCCAACGGCGACAAACCATTCGAAGGGAAAACTCCCAAACAGCTCGTAGCGCGGGTGCTGATTGGCGATGTTCGCTTTGATGGACCCCTCTGGAAAGATATTTCTACCGAGGCACAAGAATTCATCAAAACACTCTTGCGGGTGGATCCAGAGGACCGTGTGACGGCACATGAAGCCATGAAGGATCCTTGGTTCACTCCCAGCCCAATAACAACATCCCAGTCGCCAAAGTGCAAACGAGATTTGATTGAAAAGGTGCAGGAGAGCATTGTGAAATTTGCAGACACGGGCGAGTTTCGAAAGCTGGCACTCAATGTCATTGCCAAGAAATCAACGTCCGAAGAGATCTTTGAACTTCGCAAAGTATTTGATGAATTCGACACCTTGAACTCGGGTAGGTAATTGTTCATTTGCGTAGCTTGACTATGCGCTGATTGGTAATGTCAAGAATCGCACGCATCAACTCATCTCGTCCACTTTATTCCCCGCAGGGACCATTACACTTGTGGAGTTCAAGCAAGCTCTTGTCCGATTCAATTACAGCGATGAAGAAATTGAAAAGATATTTCGCAAAGTTGTGAGTTCAAGTGGCGGCTAATTTGTTGATCAGTCTGGGCCACTTGAAGGATGATGGTCCCTCTCAACTATATTCTTCTTTCACCATATCAATCTGCAGGATGTCAATCGTAAGCTGAAAAGCAAACATACATCGCAGGCACCATGCAATCAACCACTGATGAAACACTCACGCCGATTACTCGCTTTCTTCTTGGCAGAAACAAACGTCATCAATTACACTGAGTTCCTGGCAGCCACCCTAGAAACACAAGGAACGATTGAGGAACACAGGCTTTCGGAGTGCTTTGAAGAATTTGATACGGACGAATCAGGTAGGCGACACTCTGCTGAACGGGTATCAACACGTTTCTCCGTGGCGCTCCTCACACATCAAGGCGCTGCCACGCTTCGCCATCTCAGGCTACATTTCGAGAGACAACCTTCGGGTGTTGTTGGTGCGTGGAAAAGTCGGCTTTTACCGGATGGTACGATTTGATTCATTCAATCAGCACCTCACCTTTTGGTGTTTTTGTTCTCAGGGAAAGCACAGCAGCGAAGCCTTCATTGACGTGCTGATGCAAGAAGCTGAAGCGACAAAAGATGGACGTATAACTTATGAGCAATTCCGACGAGTGGTTTCCAGGCGGAATCGAAGAACTCTTTCTAAACTTTACGACGAGTCTGGGCAAAACCTCCCCGTGGTGTCAGAGGACGCCATCGCTGACGACAACGGTAGCATTGCAGAAGACGAGGTGTTACAAAGATTTGGTATCATTGACAAAATGCATCGCTCTTTCAACAATCTTAGCACCAAAATATCCAAGGAATCGAGATAGTACAGCAGAGCACAATCAGAGCATCAAAATATGGGAAAAGAACCGAGTTCCCGATCATCAGTTGTTGGCTTTTTGTTTCGCGATGACTTCAGAATCATACTTCCCACCCGGAATCTTGGCATCGAGTCCGAGGAGATTGCCTGCTTCAGCGGGGCTCATCGACTCGTCGTCGTCTATCTTGAGAGCAGCGGCAAATGTGTTCGATCGGAACGCCTTCAAGAATTCCTGATAGCTGACTGCAGAGTGCAGAGAGCAAAAGGTTGCCAGTGAGATTTGTGACAAGCAATGATATTCGGTGATCCAAAGAGTTCTTACTTTTCCCATCCGAATCTTGGTCAACGCTCTTGATTATGTCATCGATTTCCTCCTCTTTACAATCGTGGCCAAGGATTTCGCGTAGGTTCTCGCGTGAGATGAATCCTTGATTTAGATTATTAGTCGGCATGAGCACAAGGAAACCGTCAGCTCTGTTTGGTGCAAAAACTTAGAGAATCCTACTAGTAACGCGGCTTTGCTTACCGGAGTCATCGCTGTCCAAACGATCAAAGGCAGCTGCAACCCGCTCCTCTTCAACATAACCGTGATACTCTATTGTGGCCGCAAGGAACTCAGTATACTGCGAGCACACCGAGTGGTTAGGACACTGGCTCGACGACAGCATCACCTCGGGAACAAAGGGGCAAAACTTACATTGATATGACCCGTGTTGTTCACGTCCTTCGTGCAGCAACAAGATGTTAGGACATGGCGGTGGTGTATTTGAGCACTCCAGGCGGCAATAGGCGCAACTTACAATGCTCTCAAAGACGTCCTGCAAAAGCTCATCAGACATGCCGGATTCTTTCAGTGCAGACTCAAATTCCTAATGACGGGCCAGGAAAACACTTCAAGATCAGCATAATCAGATCCAAGCGATCCAATCACGGCAAATCCACGGTCAGAGCGAATCCTACCTTGTACGAGATCACACCATTCTTTGCCGTGTCGTACTTCGAGAAGAGCTTGCGCAGTTCCATGATTTCGTCGGTTCGTGAATTGTGCGCGATGACATTGAGAGCCAACTTTTTGAGCGTTGGTGTGTTTTTGTACGCAATGAAACTATTTTGCAGACCCATGACAAGTTCCTCCGAAGGAGCTTCATCGGAGTATTGATTTTGATGTTGCAGCCAGTCATGGGCCAGCGCACCGGTGGCATTCAGGCGTTCCTTCGGATTGACAATCAAGAGGTTGTCGACAAAGTCTTTCCCAGCGGGCGACATTTTGTCCCAGATCGGGCCTTCCATCTTATAGTCTGCCCTCATGATTTTGTCGATCATTTTCCTACGCTTTCGGTCCGCAAATGGTTTTTCACTCGACATCAACATGAAGGCGATGACACCGACCGACCTGGTTTGGTAGATTGGTCGAGGTTGCTTAGCAAAGACAAAGACAACATGCAGCAAAACTTTGCAGCCCAAAAGAGTAAAACCGGCATTTTCGCGTGCTGATTAACTTACCAGAGGTCACATTGACTGGTATAAATTCCCTGGAGCACTTGGGGAGCCATGGTGTAACTGAACGAGGAACACCGTACATGTATACGTCAGTGACAAAGCAAGGCAGAGAAGAAAACCACGAAAAGTACCACAGGTCCCAACTCACATGGTCCCAACTCCCTCCTTCATGTGGTGCTGCTTCCCAGAGCTAAACTTCTTGCTCAAGCCAAAGTCAAGGACCTTGATTGGGGAATTCGGGTCGGCAACTTCAAACATAATGTTCCTGTAAGGTAGGACGGAGTCGAGTCAGAGTCATATCGTCAATGATCAAGAACAGAAAACAAATCCAAGGGATATGAGTGAAAAGCCACTTACTCGAACTTGAGATCGCGATGGACAATCGCATGGTCGTGCTGTATCCAAGAGTAAGAGAAGGTATCAACAAAATTAGAGAATCCTGCCGATGCACACCGGTACATAGCATTGGCTAGATGACGCATCCTGAAACCAAACCTACCATGTATTTCACGGCGGAGGACAGCTCCCCAGTGATACGGCAAGCATCTTTCTCCGAGTACGGGCTAAAGGAAGCAAGATCACCACCCTGGCACAACTCCAGGACAAGATAGATATTCTTCTTGTAATTGTAAACCTAAAAGGGCGAAAGGACTCTCAGTTAGGTCTCTCTGGAATGGATGTAAATTGAGTAGTGAGTTTGTTGATGATGACACTGACCTCATGTGCCTTGACAATGTTTGGGTGATCGGTCGACTGAAGAGGGGGAAATGGTGTTGCAAGTGTCATTGAGTAACATGGTCCAGCCAGAACGTGCCATGAAGAAACATGCACGCTCAGAACAAAACGACAGCCATTTCGCGTACCTTGAGAATATTAATTTCGTTCTTGAGCTCTTCGACATACAGAGGCTGCACTCGATCCAATTGAATGCTCTTGAGGGCATAGACATTTTCAACCTTCCTGCGCTCAGACGTATCCGAAATATTGGATGGTTGCTTCAAGAGTTTGGACATGATCTTTCCGACCACTCCTTGCGCCTTGAATGCGGAACCTGAAACAAGAGCAGCCTGTCAGCCCGGCAGAGACATTCCTTTGTTCACCCTTGTCACCTTATGATACATGTACAGTGTACTAGCGAGATATCAGACAGCAACAACATAGACTCACCTCCGATTTTGCTGTCCTTCACTTTGACCATCGACACGGTTCCCATGGAACCTGTACCCATCACATGAAGCACTTCATACTTCTTCAACACATTCTTGTTCTGCTCACGCAAAAGGTTGTCATGCAACGATTCACCTTTGCTTCCCATGGTTACGTCTGCTTGCTGCAATTAATTGATGATACACAGCTCCTACAGAGGGATGTTGGCGGAACTACAAGCAAAGGTTGTGATGGTGAGGGGGGATACCGGTAGCCCGGAATAGATTCGATTCGATTCAACCAGTGATGGTCCCTTCTTGTCGATTGTAACAATGTCATGTCAACGGACGGCTCTGGCACAAAAAAATGACCTTTGAATCATGCTTCGTGATAGTTCTGCGATCTTCTCTCGGGCAATCTCCCAGGCTCTCAGGTCTCTGTGGCTTCCAGTACACCGTAAAAGCTGCTGTGTGGCACATGGTCAGAGTCGAGTCAGAGTCCATGTGCCAGAAGGTTCTGCCAGTAGTACAGTAAGGTAAACACAGAAGAGCAGGTCCTCCTGTTGGAACAGGGGTTGGGGCGGAGTGGGCCCTGGCAGTTGGACCTACTGTACTGATGGACTACTGGGATACCTAGCTAGGTACCGGTAGTCTAGCTATCTAGATGGGGGCTTTCCTCCTGCCATTTTGTCTTGAGTTGAACCAAGGACAGAGATGTTCTGTACATGTAGTGGGTTCATTTTAGTGCCTTGACCAGGTCCTAATTAGCTCAATGGGCACCCTGTGAGGGCCAGTTGTACAATGGCCTAATTCTCAGCCTCTCTCCTCACTACGTGGTACTACTAGACAGTAGTCTAGTTTTGACTTATCTCTCAATTATCCTTTTCTACTCGTCAAACAAGGTCAACCACAATTGCTCTGTAGTTTTGTTGATTGTTGATTGCTTTCTTCCAGTGATACTTCTCTTATCTACATGATTTATTCGTCGCGGTAAGTTCATTTTTATCCACCAGCTACATCATTTTGTTCTTTGCAATTGATGCTGCTAGATACAACCGTATCGGCACCAGTGCCAGGATTTCAAAGAAAATATCATTGATCACATCTACCCAAGCAGCGAGTATTCTGGCATCTGCCTCGGCACTTTCACCGAGCTGTACATATCGACCAAATTCCACGAGAAGATCCACTTGGGTAGAGAGGATGAGGACGCCACTGGCAAAACAGCCAGCTTGGAAAATCCTCCACAAAACTGTCCCATATCCACCAATTGTCGGATCAATTGCCTCCTCCTCGTAAGCTCTCGCCATCAAGGCTCCCAGCATCCAGCAGCAGGCAAGTCCAGCTCCATGAACCAACGTAGGTGCCAACAAGGCTCCTTTGTACTGCCATAGTGTATCGTCGAAAAGTGGTTTCAGCCATGTCGGATTTGGTGATCTTGTCAATGTAACATAAAAGACTTGCATTGCGGGACCAATAATCTGGGCCACACAAACATCAGAGTACGGCAAGGCCGGGTCGTCTATCTTTGGAGAAAGCACGCGGTCCAACGGCGTGCCTGATCCATCTTTGCTATTGGCCATTCCCAGGGTCGTCGGAAAATGCTTCGTTTTCGCTGTGGCCAAAGTGGTTCTGCCGATTGTCCGCAAATAACCTCCTTGCACTGCCGCATGGTTGAATGCGTTTGCCAGGAAGAGCTGCAAGGCAAGCATAAACAGGCAGCGGAATAATTTGCGATACATGGTTGCTTGCCAGAGCCGATAGTGGATCTTTTGTCTTTTCACAAGGTTTGCAAAAGGATCTCAAAACTCCAAGATTGGATGTTGCCCTTTTCGCGCCGATCTATTCTAAGCTCTGCTGGCTGCTGGGTAAAATCCTGGTCGCGGGATGGGCGAAAAATAATGGAAGAGGAGCTTCAAGTAGAAGAACAATGCCCTTGGTCCTGCCCCCGGAGTACTGTACCGGTACCAGTAGACAGCTTGTAAAATAGTAGAGCGCCATGGCCGTGGCGACCAGTAATAAGTCAGCGGGAGCTGCGATACCTCGGCAGAAAGACAGATAGAAGAAGGATGACATGTTTGAGATTACACCCTTCTTTCAAGGTAGCCCTGGCGACAACACCCGACTTCGTCATGTGTTGCCGCCCGGTATCATTCCCTCATTATAGCTTTCTTTTTTATTTAGGCTAGCCCTGGCGACAACACCCGACTTCGTCGTGTGTTAAATAGGAAATAGGAAATAGGAAATAGGAAATAGCATTAAAGGGGTTGAGAACTCAGGCAGTTTACCTGCCGAGGTAAAAAGGGGTAGAGGGCTCAGGCAGGGTTACTCGGCATTTTGTCTGTTTGGGAAAGTGTTTTGGCGATTAAGTGTAAATATCTACACACAGTTAGTAGACATAAGTAGACAAAGTAGACATTGTGCGACATTAGGAGACATTAGTAGACAAAGTGATACATTGGTAGACATTGGTAGACAAAGTGAGACATTGTGAGATATTGTGAGACATTAGTAGACAAAGTGAGACATTTTTGTACTGTTTTACTGTACTGTGTAGACAAAGTGAGACATTGGTAGACATTAGTAGACATTGTGAGACATTGTGAGACATTGGTAGACATTGTGAGACATTGTGAGACATTGTGAGACATCCGTAGACATTGTGAGACATAAGCCACTTTTACAAAGGAGCATAGAACATTTAGGCAACTCTGTAATCAGATACAATAGCCTTAAATAGACAAAATGCCGAGTAACCCAGATAGACTGCCGAGGTAAAGGGGTAGAGGGCTCAGGCAGATAGACTGCCGAGGTTAAGGTGTTGGGCCACGAGCAGTAAGCCAGCTTCAGTCTGCTTACGTACCATCGCTTGTTTCGCACATATGTTTTGTATAAATTACGGAATCTGGAATCTTGAATGTTCGTACTCTCACTGGATAGAGGTTCGAACGAGTTCGCGCTAAAATTTAGCTTGAATACTAGCTTTGCGAGCACCTGTAGAGCACGTCCTCTAACTCTTTGGCCAATGAAACGCCTGTCGACAATCGTGTTGCCGCCAAATTTTGGAAAACTCTCATCCCACGTACACCAGCCTTTGAATGCATAATCGAGCGACGGAGCACCTCATTTATTTCGCTCGAGTAGATGTACGTGTACAGATAGCGCAGCTCCTACTACATTGACGGTATGGAAACTCCCAACACAAGCAACCGGTGCAACTATTGGAGGGTTACCCCAGCTGCTGAATCAGCCAAACTAGCTTCCAAAGATGGTGATTGGAATCTGCACGGATCTGGCAATGTCAGTACGAGGACACGGCACAATGGCGCAGGAAGGCCAAATTATGAACGACTGGAGTATGGGGAAGAGATTGATGATCCAACGGCACCAGAGTTTGTAGAGGATCCTGCCATGGAGGAAGCCACCACAGAAGAGGAAAATGAAGAGCAAACTGGGCCCACTTTCAACACAAAGCCCCACGAAAGAGTCATTCTGGAAACAGAACAATTGAGCAATTGTTTCCGCAAGATGGCTTGCCCCAGAGCAGACTGTGTTGGCAAACTACGATTGAAAATCCACAATTGCTGCATTGCATCCTCATTCAAACTTGAATGTACGAATGATTATTGCGACTATACGTACGATAGCGACAAGCCAAGCACAACGACAATGAATGCTGGTTGCAACGACAAGATCGAAAGAAGCACGGACTATGGAATCAATATATTGTATACATTGGTCAACATTGCGAATGGCAACGGTGGAACCGAAGCAGCCAAAATTCTCGGTATTTTGGGGTTGCCGAATGACACTACGATGAAATCCCGTTCCTTCCGCAATATTGAGGAACGACTTGCGCCTGCGATTCTTGAATTGAAGGATGAAGTCGTCCGTGAAAATCTAATAGAAGAGGTGCGCAAATCGTCGTCAAATGAGCAAGATTTCCTTGATTGGATGGCCGCTTTGAACGATCCCGATGACATGTTGAAGGACAAAATGCCGTTTGTTGACGGAGGATATGACATGGCGTGGCAACAGAAAGGATCCGGTCATTTGAGGAACTCTGTTTCAGGTCACGGTGCTATTGTCGGTGCCCTTACGAGAAAGATCATTTCGTTCGGCATCAAGAGCAAAGTTTGCGGACAATGCCAAGCTTGGGTCAAGAAACATGCTGATAGTGAGCCTGACGATCGTCCACCGGTACCAGAACATTATTGTACCCGGACTCACGATCCAAAGGATTCGTCGGGGTCAATGGAAGCCGCTCTGGCTTTGGAGCTGGTCGTTGATCTGTTCCGAGACTCCAAAGTCATCATGCGGCACTTGTGCTGTGATGACGATTCGTCCATCCGTGCAGACTTGCAGTGGAGCAACGCCAACTACAAACTCAACAATCAAACCGATGTTCTGCCAAAGGTGAAGATCACCAAAGGGAAGAACAAAGGTGAGCTCCAAGACCGTCCTGACAAAGGAAAATTACCGGGAGATATTCCCGAACCCAACTTTGTGGCTGATCCAAACCACCGCCGCAAACAGTTGACAGGAGAGCTAATTCGTCTCGATCTCTCCACTGTCGAGAAGAAGAAAGGGATGTGCCGAATGGATTCTATCCGTATTGGCAAGAATTTTGCTTATTTCATTCGTACACTCCAACAGATTGAGGAAGGTCAATTCGAAAGCCGTGGCAAGGCCGTATTGGATCACCACTTTGACAATCATACGAACTGCGGGCCTTGGTGCCTCCGGTCAAAAGAGACGCCGGAAGAGCAAAAGAAAAGCAAGAAGGTCTACCGCACGCTAGAGGACGAGTCTGGCGCGGAGCTCTACAGTCTGCTAGACACAATCGTTGCCAAATACATTACACTGGCAAGGTTGAAGGAATTAGCGCACGGTCAAGATACCAACGCAAACGAATCCTTCAATAGCCTCGCCACGTGGTTCGCTCCTAAGAACAAGGTCTTTGCCAGCACCCGCTCCCTCGAAAATCGCCTTGGAATGGCGGTCTGTATCCATTCGATTGGGTACGAACAATTCTACACTCGTCTCCTGTTCAAGCTGGGCATCAATATGACCGATGGTATCTCTCACTTTTTGGGGATTGTCCAGCGGAACAGGGAAAAGCAACAAGCAAAGAAAAAGACGAATCAATACAAAATTGTGCGCAAGAAGAGGAAAAACGATAAACTCAGCAATGCAACCATTGATTACAAGACCAAGACGGCGAAGGGCTTGGGTGTCTACGACTCTGGGATCAATATGGCGGAGGTCACAATGGATGATCTCAGGACGAGGACTCCTGTTCGTAAGAAGCCAAAGAAGGCAAAGCAGTATTGTCCTTTCTGCGGCAGGGCTGGTCATGTCAGCAAGAAGGCCAAGAAATCGTGTTTACATGCTGGCAAGAGTGACATGGAAGCTCCACCAATCTTCTGCAGGCAAACTGGCAAAAAGCTAGCTGACATTGTGGCTGAGGCCTCTCCACAAGGACCAACCAGTGCTGCTGCTTCTTTGCCAGCAAATGAGGTAACTCCTTTGCGTGCTGCTGAGGAGGATGATGATGTTGTGGCTCAAGATTTGCTAGCTTTGGAGGATGATGGAGCCCATGATTTGGCTGGTCTGGAGGAGATGCCATTGAACACGATGGTGCCAGGAACAGAGCATCTTGCTCAGCTAGATGATGACACATCTGACGAGGAAGACCTTGATAGTGATGAGGAAGACAATCCTTCCAATGCAATCTAGCTAGCTTTGCCAACTAACTAGCTAGCGAACCCATTACATGTATCTCTTCTACTTTCAAGAGTACATAGCTAGCTAGCGCTGGCTACAGGAACGTCCGATTTGAATGCATCGTCGGCATCGTACGGTGCTGTTGCGATTGGTACGATTTTTGAATGTACGTAGCTCGTTCTTGCATTCAAAAACTAACGGCATCGGGAACAGAATACTTCAAAATTTGACCTCACATTTTTGGGTGCACCCGGTACTCACCTATAGTAAAATAGTACAAATAACACGTTTCAGGTAATATTCAAACTTTCTCCTCGCGAAAACCAAGATTCCATCCACCATCGAATTGTTCCATTAGCTCGCAACATCCACCGTGTGTGTTAGAGAGCTCATTCTCTCCACGCCTGCTGATTGCATTGCCCTACAACCATACATTTATCTACTCCATATAGTGTAAGGAATACAGTAGTGTATAGTTGTAGGGCGATACAAGAAGCAGGCGTCGAGATTTATCGGTCAGAAGCAGCCGAATCGAAAATTCGTCGCTCCTTCTGCCACAACAAAGAAAGATAACAGGCCGATCAGATATGGTGGAATGCTCGACAGCTACACCTCGGCACTACTAATAGACAGAGGTCCTGCACTGCTAGTAGTCTCATTGGGGTAGCTAGCGACGATTCCAGCACACCTTTAGCAGCAGCCATCGATCCTTTGTTGTTTGTTGTTCTTTCGCGATAGCACCGTGTAAAAGAGTGGGTATTATTAACAGCTTATCGCCGGCTTAATTCACGTGGCCCGACACCTTAAGGAACATTTTCGCTTATCACCGCTGGCCGGTCGAAAAGTTGCTGCAGCCAAAAACGAAGACAACCAAAACCAGCGCATCTAGTAGGGTGATACTAATGGGCGAGAAAATGTGTTCTGAGAGCGTATGTACACAACCTTTTAAAGTATCTTTATCAGACTACTCCGAATCTCTTTTTATATTCATGCATGTGTCCAGTGGTGTTAGCTGTTTAAACGCCTTCAATTCTGTCCTCCACCTCAGCATACAACTCTTGCAATCGTTCAATGTTCTCATCCGATGTGTCCCAGTATCCACGCCCGTTGGCTTCCAAGAAGGTTGTAACCATATCACGGAAGGCGTTGGGGTTGGTGTCCAACAGTTTTTGTTGCATCTCGGGGTCATCAATGAAAACACTGTTGGCATCCTCGAAGACGAAGTTGTCAACCTCCCCAGCAGTAGCAGACCAACCCATGGTATTTCGTAGACGCTTTTGGATTTCACGGACACCTTCGTATCCGGTTGCAAGCATACCGTCGTAGAATTTGGGGTTCAAAAGCTTAGTTCGGGCATCGAGACGAACAGTTTCAGCAAGAGATCTCACTTGGGCATTGGCGGTTGTTGTATCGGCCATGAAGGACATCGGCTTCTTCTTGTCGTCGCGGAGTCCTTGAACGACCTTGGTGGGATCAGAATCGTAGTAATGAGACACATCCGTGATGGAAATCTCCGAAGAATCAAGGTTCTGGAAAGTTACATCAACCCTCTTCAGAGACGACTTGAAGAGTTCCGCCTGTTGTTCCATCATTCCAGGCTTGTCTGCGTTGAAGGCAAATCCCTTTCGTGTAAGGAATTGGTCCTGCAACTGAGTCTCGTCCTCCCATCCACCGTTCTCGATAGCAAGACCAACGTTGGCACTGTAGGAACCCGCAGAATTGGAGAAGACACGGCAAGCGGCGTCACGAAGAGACACACCAAGTTCCTCGGCTTGCTCAAGAGCGTGCTTGCGAACAAAGTTTTGCTCAAGAGGCTCGTCGGCTTCAGCGGCCATCTTGATGGCGCGATCCATCAAGTTCATTTGGTTGATGAACAAATCGCGGAATACACCAGAACAGGAGACAACAACGTCGATACGAGGACGGCCAAGTTCCTCGAGAGGGATGAGCTCCACCTTGTTGACACGTCCCAGGGAATCAGGCACAGGCTTGACACCAACCAATGCAAGGACTTGAGCCAAAGATTCGCCATATGTCTTGATGTTGTCTGTACCCCAGAGAGTGAAGGCAATGCTCTCAGGGAACTGGCCATCGTTGTCATCAGACAATTTCTCCAACAACTTCCTGACCACATCTTGAGAGACTTCAACGGCGGCTTGTGTGGGAATGGCAGAGGGATCAAGAGCGTGCATGTTACGACCAGTGGGCAACACATCTGGGTTTCGGATGGGGTCACCACCGGGAGCAGGCATCAAGAACTCTCCGTTCAAAAGTTGCATGATTCCTCCGAGTTCCTGGTTGGCAACAACTTGCTTCAAGCAGAATTCAAGGTACTTGACGACACCAGTCAAACGCTCTTCCTGAACCTTGGGGAATCCGGCATCAATGATAGCTTGTGTCCATGGTGATTTCTTGCCCATCATGTTTCCGAAGAAAGAACCCATATCGTCGAACATGGTGTTGACCTCCTTGATGCGTCCATCAGAGTTGGTTGACTGGTCGACAAGGGCACGAACAGCAGCCCTGGAAGCTTCTGTGATCTTGGTGTTGAGCTCGACGTCGTCAAGAATACCAACGTTATTTCCTCTGTAAACCTCGTTAATATCACGACCAACAGAAGCAGCAATCACTCGTGGGAGACCTTCGATTTTATCCTCGGGTCTGTCAAGTTGAGCAATGTTAACGAGGGTAGCAATGGCTTCTTCAGCAGTAGGTGGCACACCGACTGTGTGGAGACCACAGGGCAACAGCCGACTCTCAATTTGCATGATCTCAGAGTAGACCTGACCAACAATGTCATCACGGCGTTCCGCAGTATCTCCCTTGGCATCGTAGCTGTCCAACGCGGGGAGGTCCACATCCTTGTCGAGGTTGCAAGAGTATGCTGTCGACACAATGGAGTTCACGATGGCAGGACCGCGAGCTTCGTTTTCTCTGAGACCTTGGTACGATGAGATCAACTCCTTGAGTTCCTTCAAACCCTTGTACAGTCCAGCGTTTTCGGCCGGAGGTGTGAGGTACGAGACAGTCGCAGAGTACGAACGTCTCTTGGCGATTGTGGCCTCAGAAGGGTTGTTTGCAGCGTACAGGTACGCCGAGGGAAGAGAGTTGATGAGACGATCGGGGTAGCAAGTGCCAGACATACCAACTTGCTTTCCAGGCATGAACTCAAGACTTCCGTGTGTTCCAAAATGGAGGACAGCATCGGCCTGGAAGATCTTCTCGAGGTATGTGTAGTAGGCAGCGAAACCATGATGGGGACTGGCAGACTTCGCAAAGAGAAGACGCATCGGATCACCTTCATATCCGAAAGAAGGCTGTACACCAATGAAGACGTTTCCGAATTGCTTTCCGTAAACCACAAGGTTCTGTCCGTCAGAGTTCAGGTTTCCTGGAGCAGGACCCCAGTTCTCCTCGAGCTCTTCAGCGTAAGGGGTCAGCTCGTAGTACTCGTCAGTGCTCATTCGGTACGCAACATTAAGCTCGGGGGATGAGATCCTGGCTTCGGGGTCGTTGAGGACAGACTCCATGATTTCTGACTTGTCGAAGGGAGCATCACCAATGTCATATCCATCTGTCTTCAACTGCTTGAGGACAGCCGCGATGGAATCAAAGACATCGAGGTAGGCAGCTGTTCCCACATTACCCTTATCGGGAGGGAAAGAGAAGATTGTGACGGCAATCTTCTTGTCAACGTTTGGCTTGGTACGAAGGTTGGCCCACTTGAGGGCACGGTCGGCCAACAAGTTCACACGGTCAGCGAGTGGCACACTTCGGCCTGTAGCTCCCTCACGTCCAGCAAAGATGATGGGTTCAATGGCACCATCGATTTCGGGCAGAGACACCTGAAGAGCCACCTGGATAGGGTGCAGACCCAATTCAGACGACTGCCACTCTTCGAACGACTGGAAAACAAGAGGGACGGCACACATGTAAGGACGGTTGAGCTTCTTCAACACCTTCGAAGCCTTGTCGTGATCCTGAGAGGCGGGGCCTCCCACAAGAGCGAAACCAGTCAGGTTGATAACGGTGTCGACAATTGGGTTTCCACTGGCATCGTAGAAGAAATCCTCAACGGGACCGGAGAAGTCCAGACCTCCAGAGTAGATGGGGACAACTCTAGATCCACGGCTCTCAAGTTCAGAGATCAAGGAGACGTAGTGTGTGTCATCCTTGGTGTTGATGTGAGACTTTTGAAGGATGATACCGACAGTTGGCGCAGTCTTGACATCAATACCAGCATCAGGGCAGAATTCGTTGTTGTACCACTCAAAGTACTTTGCGCTATTCTCAAAGACAATATCAGGGGCGACAGGGTGCCAGATGGCCTTGTCGGGGAGCAACACTGGCTCCTCGGCAACAACTTTCTCCTTGCCAACCATTGACTCCTTGATGGGGCCGACATAGTCCTGTCCAACCATGGTGATAAGGGATTCAAGATTCTCGGGGGATCCTGCGAGAAGTTTGTGCCGTTGAGTGTAGTCTTGAATAGGAGCAAAGCAGTAGTGATTGGCAAAACAATAACTTACCTCCCAACCAGTATTGGAAAGACATCATGAAAGTTCGGGCATCAGCAGCCTTGTCACTAGGAAGGAACTTGAGAACCTTTGGAAGAGTTCGAAGAAGCTTAAGCATACCCTCCTCGAAGGATGACCCGTCTTCTTGCTTTTTCTTTTTCATGAAGTCAGCGACGACACTCTTAGATTGTCCCAAGTTCTTCATGGTGAAGCTACCGATTTTGTTCATACGCATAACTTCAGGCATGGAAGGGAAAACAAGGACAGCATCCATCCGCTCACGTTGTGGTTGGACGACTTCGACGACCTTTTCGGCAAGTTCCTGGACGAAGATCAGGGAACCAATGAAGACGTCGGCATCTTCAACATCCTTTTTGAATTGATCAAAGGCATCATCGTTTCGCAATTCTTCCAAAAGGTAACCAACACATTCTACAGCCATGTTCTCGGAACCAGCATTGATTCTCTTAACAGCAGCAGTCATGGAAGATTGATATTGACTTTCCAAGACCACATAAACGATCTTCATGGTAGGACGGTCGCCTGGGTTTTCCGGAAGCACACGGCGGTTTTCAGAGTTGGAGGCAGTGAACATGCCTCCTCCCCCAGCAGGTCCCGCAGCGGTAGGATCCGAGACGACCATGTTCAATGCGGAAGAGCTCTGGATGGCCTGGGAGTTCGCTCGCGCGATGGAAGCCCTACTGGAAGAAATAAAGGTGGCCGCATTTGGTTGCCATCTGTAAAAGAAAATCAAAGAGGTGGATGGAGCAATATAAGATAACATAAGAGCCACCACACGATCGCCACCACTCGATCACAAAATCGGTAGGCGCCATCACATCGAGCCTTCTTCGACAGCCACAACAAGCTCCAAGGGACGTTTCTGATGGCCTAAAGTTCGAGTTGATGGCCCACTGCCGACCGAAACATCACTTTGATGTCAAGCACAAAGCTATCGCTACACTTACGCTGTGCAAGCCCCAGCTGCAAGAAGAGCAACGGCTGTTGCCTTAAAGTTAACCATTTTATCTATCAAAGAATGTAAATTGTGAGAAGAACAAAAGACACACCACGGGTTGTTGCTTGTAGAAGTCCGTCTATTGGTGTGAAGGGTAGATAATGTGAATGACAAGGAATGCGCAATCCAAAAGAGGCAGCAAGCAAGTTGAAGTCTCATCAGATCGACCTCCCAGGCACTTCCTCGTGGCAGAACACGTATGTGTTGACGGGATTCCGCATCCGTGACTTGATCTAATTTGAAGCCAATTTGAAGAAGAAAGAAAACTGCATGTCTTTGGCCTTGAGGACGGACGGCAAATGATCTGTCTTTCGCTGACGCGGAGGGCAGAAGAAGAAAGCAACAGGTTTTGCAGTGTCTTTCGCCTTGAGGACGGACGGCAAATGATCAGGAATCCCATACAGTAGCTGGATGTGTGATGGCTGTCGCTACTGTAGTGTGTCGCCGGCTTGTTGATGGGCGAGGTATATCTTTGGCTTCCTTGGCGAAACTTGCCGAGCTTCTGCGCTGGTTCTGCCATTGTTTTCCTCGGAAGCGAAGAAGCTTGAGGGTGAACAAAAAAAGATATCTCACGGCGCTGGCATGGACATCAGATTCTTTGAAAGTGGCAGAAATCTTTGCTGCATTTTCAACTTTCGGCCAAACTGACCGTGCTTCTGCGCTGGATTCTACCGGTATCATTGTTTCTCTTGAATTGAAGAAGTTAGCGGGTGGACAAAACAAGATATTGCAAGGCCCTTTCAGACTTTCTACGGTATGAATAGAGTCAACGGGTTACAAGGAGTCAGCTGCAAAGAAAATGGTTGAAACAACATCTGAGTCGAGTCCTCTCCACAAGCAAGTCGGATCTGCGAATCTGGGGTGGTGGGAATCCCGTGGGTTTACCGGTAGCTGGTGAAGATCAGGAGATATTGAGATGTCGAGCGTCGTCCTCCCAGACTCTGATTCAGCAGGCATGAAAGGGGTTGCCTTGGAGTATCTCTGGTGGTACACCGACTGGCTGCTTAACCTTTCCCTTCTCTTTGGTCGGTGGGACGTGTTGTGCACTGGTTATTGCATTCCCGAGGCCAAATTCATGCGCTTTGCAAACCAGAAGAAGTTTCGCATGCAACAACCAACCACAACTATCCTTGAAAACAGCATGATTTGATCCTATTAATAGCTAGCCACCGGTAGGGGGTTGAGGCAGCAGCCTCTCAGAACCGGTTTGCTCTAGTTTTTAGACGAACACTCGCTGCCCAACAAAGGCCAGTTTAGTCTGGCAGGAGTGTTCTCAAACATCCACATAAAAATCCGTCATGTTTATGGCACGGTACCTTGTAGTGGTACCGGTAGGATAGCACAGGCCTTTGAATGTCAAGCTCATCAGAGCGGAACCTGCGATAATGCTAGCTAGGGTGAAAATAAATACGGATGAAACGAGGACTGCTCTGTAGGACACGACTTTCGGTACCGATAGTAGTTCTGTGCCGTATCAATACTAGTAGTGTATTTTGACCAAAACCAAATTGATCCTCGCTTTCGCTTCTTTTCTAATCCTAGGTAATAGCGGTCGTTTTGCGTGGTGGTATATGACACTTTTGCATGCCACCACCAAAGAGCAGTTTGCCACCGTGCTGATCGATGAGTTAGCTTCCATGGGGACGAGTGATGTTAAAAGCGGCTAAAGAAGCTTACTGCAGCAACACGGTGTTCTAGAGTGCTGATGGCGGCGGTGGTCCCCATGCAGGGTCCACCTTGTAGCTCCGAGAGGCGGGCTGCAAATCAACAATCAAAACTGTCATGTTGTCACCTCCGATGCCCTGTGTGGCTCTGGGGTCATCGCTCAAGATAGTGTTCAACATTTCTTCGCCAATCTCTTTTGGCTCCTTCGTGTCTATACGTTCCCGAACAAACTCAACTGCTTTTTCATTTGTGAGACAGTCCCAAATGCCGTCACATCCGAGGATAAAGAATTCATCGTTCGGCTGCAGCGTAGCCCTGATTTTTGAAGCAGCAAAAGACCAGTTAGATGAGCGATTCAATTCCAGTCTCAAGACGACATCAAAAAAGCAGATTGGTGCTTACTGAAGGATATCTGGCTGGGCAGTGATCATTTGATCAGCGGGTGCTATCCCTGGCACTTGTTTGTACTTTAGGTCACCAATAGAACGGGACAAGTTCAGATTTCCATTCACCCTGCCAAATCGATTCACGAAGCCACCAGCACTGTTGATCCGATTCATTTCGCGTGGTTGTTGAGGTTTATGATCAAAGCTCAAAGGCTCCGCCTTGCCACCCTCGCGGCATAAAACTCCTCTCGAATCCCCAGCATTCGCAACGGTCAACGTCATGTTCAAGAGAACAGCGACAACAGCAGTACACCCAGCATGGATTGGGTGGTCCGGGAGATTGCATATCTGAAAATTCAACCCATGAGCTCATTGGGTCTAGAAACAGGGAACACGAACGCAGATAACAGACGTACCAAACGACCATTCTGCAGAATTGAAGGTGATGAAGCTGAAGGTCCGGTGTGTACGGGTGCCTGTATCTGATCGGCTGGGTCGGTACCATCAGCTTTGCCTGCGTCTGTAAAAAGGGGAGACGTTAAGCATCCCTCTTCACAAAATACAGAATCTACGTGGAACTCCCAAACCAGAAAACTCCCAAAACTTCACTCACCTTGGTCTGCAACCCGGATCACCATTTGCCCGGATTGATCGTTCATGTTGAGCAACCTTTGAAACATCACAGTAACTTTATTGGTGGGAATGGCAGGATCAGTAGCGGAGTTATCAGCAGTGTCGTTCCCAACGACCTGAATAGCGCCGTCGTAAGGATTGATTTGTACATCGTCGCTGCTCTCCTCCTCCTCTTCGTCGATGCCTTGTTCCCGAGCCGCTTCTTCCTTTCCCACCGCCTCGTCACTGTCGTAATCTTTGTCCGACTGCGAACCACTACTTGTTGAACTGGTTTCATCCTCTCTTTCTTCCTGTTCTTCTTTTTTCGGTTCATCAGAAGAAGAAGACTCCCCGGGTGTTTCAGTGGGTGGAGTTTCGTCGGTTGCTGGTGAAGCGGAATCGGCAGCAGAGTCTGTGTTTTCTTCAACGGTGGCACTATCTGTAGTTGCCTCGCTTTCCTCTTCAGGCTTTCCTTCTTGTGAACTCTCCTCTGTTTCTTGGGTGGTATCGCTTTCAGCGTCCTTTTCATCGCTGGTGTTAGACTCGGACTCAATAGTTTCACTAATAGGAGTTTCGGCTGGGGTTACCGCTGGTTGTGCGGGTGGTGGAGGAGGCGGAGGTAAAACGTTTTCAGCGGCTCCCCCGGCAAGCTCTGCAGTATTTATGATTCCAGCACCTTGTGGGGAAACAACAGGCTTGACAGGTGGAATAGTACCAGCGTCCCTGCGTTCGGTTGGTGGTGCTTTTTGTGTTCGCAATCGAATAATTTCATCTCTTTCAAAGCCAGAATAGAATAGATTGACAAGCACCAGCGTAAGCACACTACCAAACGAGACTTTCGATCTGTAACCGATGTATCATACTACAAATAATTTTGTAGAGGGCAAGAAACCCATCAACAATAATTGAAAGACAAGACTTACCTTCGCGTCGGGTCGTCAATCATGCGGTCCAATGCGTGAAATGTGTTAATAAGTGCTTTTCCAATGCCAGTATTTTCGGCAACGTCGGCTTCTTCATCGTTTGTTGTTTCTTGCCACATTTCTTGCTTGGTCAAGACAGAGACCATATACAGCTGACAAAAGCGTGCCACTTCCGGTCCACCGTGGCCATCAAACACTCCAAAAACTTTGGCTTTTGGTATTTTCTCTTTATCTTTTATATAGGGTAACCCCGGCGGATACGGCACTGTGGTCTCCACGACGTGTGCATCTTCCATGGACTTTCGCCAGCCTTGCATGTCGATGACAGAAAACCGGAGGGGCCGCACCGGACAGTCCATGTCCTCACCCCATTCCTTGTATTTTTCAGAGGCTGGAGTCGACAGATAGGTTCCCATTGTTGTTGTTGTATTGCTGCGTCAGAGGAAGCGTATTGAGGCTTTTTGGATGTGGCAAAGGGTTGTGCTCAGCTAGAAAGACTGCGATGAGGCACGGTTCAATCACCAATTTTTCCGGGCAATGCCGATCAGCCAGCGCCACAGTGTCGCGTCGAGTCTCTTCTAACCACTGATGGCAAGCTAGCTAGATAGTGCTGACCAAAGGTGCTCTGAACCTCAAACCAACAAAGCAGAAGGAACAAACAAAGAGATGACAAGTCCTACAAAGATAGATGAGTACAGTACAAAAACGGAGGCTAACAGCGTCGCATGGTTGTGACGACAATGGCCGAAGCACATGCAGCATGATGAGAGAGGAAATTCGCACGGGGCCTCCGCGCACGCGGGGAAAGTCTTTTTCTGGGGTCAGGTGTCACAACGGTACTGGTTTTAACCTCTCGTAGGGATAATTTCAATCGCATTTTTACAGTGTTCAAAGCGGTTTTTAACTGGTACCTGGTACTCGTACGGATCTTGTTTCTGACACCAACGCGAACAACTGTGTGAGAGTGAAAAGCAACGACCATGGCACAAAATGTATTTGCCGCTGGACTTTTCCTCCGATTGAACAAACAGTGCTCTGGTAGCTAGCTAGCCATACTTGACGACAATGGTCAACAGTTCTAAGAAGCGTTTTGCCGCCGCTCGAAATGCAGCCAATGTGTCGCCCAGTGGATCTTCTCAACAGAGCAACTCTCCCCAAAATGGCACCTCGGCATTTTCGTCCGAAGCCACTGCCCACTTTTCCGATGAAGATACCACACCCATTCCATCTCTGCATGGAAATCTTGTGAGGAATCGATTCTGGAGAGACCCACTGGAGTAGGTTCAATTACTGCGCCGTAGCTTGTGCTGTGATGTGCTGTGTTGTGAGTCTTTTGTATTCGTATTTCGATCGGCGCTCATTTTTTTTGTTCATTCGATTCCTTTTTTGTCATGCAGATTCTATGAACCATTGGAGATACTGGGAGAAGGATCTATGGGTAGCGTGTCCAAGGTCCGAAAGAGGAATGAAGTGATTGGAGGGTCCGCCAGGTCTGCGTATCTCAAAACACATGGTAAACCCAAGGGCTTCTTCGGCTCCTTTTTTCAGTTTTTACCTTTTTCGCGACACAATTCCGATGCTTCGTACACTTTTGGTTCCGGTTCCACCAACCGACGCACTCAACAACAACCCAAACAACACAACTGTTTTGCGCTATTCTGCTTTCCCGCGCGGCACAAGAAAGATTCGGCTTTACTGGACCCAATCATGGAAGACGACGATGGAGCAGACGGCAAAAAGAGTCAAGATCAGGGATGTTGGGGAGCTTGGTTTGGTGGTGGGGCTACTAGTGTCGAGAGTAGTAGGCATGATGGCAGTGGTGGAAAAGCAAGCAGACATCAAAGTTTCTCCCCGAAAGATAGCTTTTCCGAACAGAATGACGACGACCTACTGAAACAAGAAGATTACGAAGCCATTGAACGACAGGTGCAAAGGGCACTCAAACATTCTACCTCTTCATTGATTACATACGGTCACAAAGATGCAGTCTATGCGCTGAAATCAATCCACCTTGACAGGGTTTCCAATTCTGACTTTATGAAGGAGCTCAAGAATGAAGGTAAGACGAAACCAAGGAGAGAATACACTGTACCATACGAACATTCATTTTCAATCAATCAGCCTCATGATATTATATGACAACAACGCAATAGTCGCCATTTTGAAGGAGCTGGATCATCCACATATTGTGAAATGCTTCGAGACCTTTCACTATAATGCAAGGTAAGGAAACGGCTACTGAATGAATGAAACATTCCTATGTTTATGGCTGCAAGTACTCATGACGATGATGCATGTGAATTCGAGTAGTCTATTTTTGGTCTTGGAAATTTGTTCAGGCTCGGATTTGTATTCACGAGATCCTTACATGGAGGCCAGCGCGTGCACTATAATACGCTCTGTCCTCAGTGCTGTGGCTTACATGCATTCCAAGAAAATCACTCATAGAGGTGAGCAGGTAGTTGTTGGTCTCTTCTTGATGATGTGAGGTAACATCGCGCTCACAATTCGATCATTGTTCGTTCTTGCAGATTTAAAGGTAAGATTGAGCCTGCCGGTATCCGTAGTGGATTTACAGTGCTTTGTAATTGTAATTATCAAGTCGCCAACCAGTACTTCCCGTCCAGTATGAAAACATCATGTTTTCCACTCAAGACCCTGATTCCGAAGTGAAGGTAAGCCATAGTCGCGTTGGGTGGCACCTGCCATTGATTTGTATTTCCATCGTCTCACCTGCAACTTCGTTTTCTCTCGCCCCGCACAGATCATAGACTTTGGCTTGAGTAAGAAGTATGCCGACAAAGCACGCTTGCATGATTGTGTAGGGACTGTGTACGTGCTGCCCAGACGAGAATGTCACGATATCGTGTGATTGTTTTGATTCTCAACTTTTGCCTTGCGGCGACGTACTCAGGTACACAATGGCACCAGAGTTGCTCACAGGCGGATACACAGAGTTGGTGGACGTCTGGAGTGTAGGTGACCTTCGCCGTGGTCTTTCAAGTTTCAGATTGCCGCGTGCGGTATGAGACTCAAGCGTTTTCTTCAACGTTGTTTGTAGGTGGGCGTCATTGCATTTATGCTTCTCTCCAGTTCCATGCCTTTCTTTGGGAAAGACCGGTAAGCATTGATCGACTGAATGGGGTGCTTCACAATGTGGAGCGTCAATGCCCAGGGCCACTAACCACAACGATGCTCTGTTTTGATGTGTGCCCTTAGCAAGCAAGTGATAAGGCGCATCGTCAAAGGGCACTATCAGTTCATCAGTCGACGCTGGAAAACCGTCTCGTCGGGTGCTAAGGCCTTCGTTGTAAGACTTTTGCAAGACAAGCCTGACAAACGCCCATCTGCAGCAGAAGCCTTGGCTGACCCATGGCTTCGCAAATGGGACTTTGATTGCTCGGGCTTTGCTCCCGAAGTGGCAATGATGGACAAGGTGCAAGCGACAATCCAAACATACTCTGGGTACGGCAAACTGAAAAAGATTGCCTTGATGCTGATTGCGTACCGGTCAAGCAGTGAGGAGATTGGCTCCTTGCGTTTTATGTGGGACGTTTTCGACAAAAAGCACGACGGAGAAGTGACGTTGGAGGAGTTCAAAGCCGTCCTTGTCGCATATGAATATTCCGACGAAGAGTTTGAGAGGATGTTCAACGCCATGGACTTGGATGGAACGGGGCTTGTTCATTACAGCGAGTTCCTCGCGGCAACAATTGAATCTCACGGATCCATTAGTGAGGAACAAGTTGCAGAGTGCTTTGACAGGTATGGATGTTCGTTTGCTGGCCTGTTACATCTTTTTGCTTCTCTGCCTGTCACTCAAGCTTGTTTGGATGATATATCATTCGATGCAGGCTCGACGCCGACGACAGTGGCTATATTACCAAAGCTGATATTGTATCCCTGTTGGGTGGTGGCATTCCGCAGTCATACATCGACGACATAATGGCTGAAGCAGATATTGACAACGACAAAAGGATATCGTAAGTGCGGGCCAATGAAGTCAAATTGTATCATCGAGTGATGCCCTCACGACCTCCATTTTGAATGTATTTGTCCAGATACCGCGAATTCTTGGGTTTGTGGGATCAAAAGGGAGATGCAAAGATGAAACGAGATCACGAAGATGTCAAGAAACGAAGACACCGCCGTGCAGATTCGGCCATGTCACAAGCTTCCTTCTCGTCTGATCTTTCTGACGACGAATTTGATGACTTCGATATTAACCCTACCTTCTCTTTTGAAGCAAACGAGATTGCGAAGATGTTGGAAGCGCCAAATACTCCTGTGAGCGGCAGAAGAATATCAGCAGTGAATGTTTTTGTACTTGAGAAAGATAAGTCTCTCCGCTCGCAATCTCTTCGGAACAGTGCCCATCAAGCAGCAATCGCGAAGAGCGGCGTGGAATATGGATCTCCTCCAGCCAGCGGCACCACTCTCGTGTCTGGGAGCGTTGATGCGCAGTATGCCTCGCCTCCAAAATCCATGGGTGCACGGAGCATCCAAGTTGCCTAGACAAACACAATAATAGCGTCCCTACCGTGTGTCTTAATTAACAAACCGGAACCTCTACAACGTTGTAGCATTCCCTGCTTGGAAAGTAGCCTGTGATCTACAGTATCTCGGGACCTTGTTACATGTAGCTATGATTTTGCCTTCTCTGATTCCAATCCACTACTGTTCTCGCTACCGGTATTGGTTCCTGGCGTGGACGCGTCACCCCCCTGGGCTACCACGTTCCCTTTCTTTTCTGTGGCATTTCCCTCCAACGGCGCTTGCGCCACCCCTGTGTCATCTTTCTCCGAGCCCGAGGCTGCTTCTTTTTCAGCCTTTTCTTTTCGCTCTCGTTGTCGTTTGCTGGAGAAGGGCTTGTGAAAAGCATCATGCAGTCTTGTCACCTTTACCTGTCCCAACCCCGGAACCATTCCCAGCTCATCCTTGGTCGCAGCCATGATGGCCTTTACCGAGGAAAACTGTGAGAGCAGCGAGGCAGCATCTGTTTTATTGACACCTGTGCCCCCAGCGAGAAAGTCAGCTGCCTGGTCGGCAAAGTTTGTTTTTTCCTTTCTCATAATGAGGGAGCAGTCATTACCATCTAACGCCTTGTATGACTCCAAATACCTTGCAGCTTCCTCTTCCGTCCAAGCGAGTATCATGGTGAAGTTTTGCTGGACTGCCAATTTGTTGAGATACAGCAATGTGGATTGATTGTCATCCATGTCGACCAGGACCAAAAGGACTCTCAGCTGGAAATCAGTTCTTAGTTCAGCAATTCGTTTGTGAATGTACTGGGGATGCAGATTGTGGTATTTCAATGACAGAAACTAAAAGGATTCACCGGCAAGTTGGTGATAAGATTCAGGCAAATGGCGCCGCAACACGTAGGCAAGCCGCCTTTACTAGCAGGCAAGCTGCACTTACCAGAGCACAAGAGGTTGGACTAAGCAGGTAATCTGGCACCATTCTCGAGTAGGCGAATGGAACGTTTCGAATAAAATTCAAGATGCCATTGCCCCTTTGTTTAGTGGATACACTGAGTACATGAGGCTGTATCATTGCGTGGTGATCCCGATCGGTCATGGTATCTTCAAAGGCACGCTGTTCAGCTCGCTCATGTGCATTATTGGCACCCGCATTCTTTCCATCTGCAGTAGCTTGCTGAAAATATTCTGTCTCGTCAATGGCCCCAAAAGCTTGCGAAAAGGAAGATCCTGCAAAGGCTTGCAATGCCGGTGGTTGAGAATCTCGAGCAATTTGGGGTTTATCAGCTCGCTTTTGGGGGCGATCATTGTCATTTGTAGTAGGATTATTTCTCTTGCTGCTGGTTCCAATGCTGGTTCCTGCCGATGTCGCCGCTGTCTTGGGCTTCTTGGAAGCATAAGGATTCTTCTTGGCAGCGTATGGATTCCTTGCTCGCGCCACGGCCGCAATGTTCCCACTGCCACCTCCTCTATTTTCGTTTGTCGGGCCACCTGACGGTGGTGGTTTTTGCTGGCCACTCGAAGGGTTTGTTGTTGATGCCATAGTAGTATATCTATGGGATCATAAAGCTATGAGGAAGGGATAATGTGGCTAAGTCGTGAAGTCGTGCCATGGTCCATGGTCAGCACTTCTTTGGAGGGATGGAGGATAGCGGTACACTGGTAACTGGTACCGATAGTGCGGGTTACAACATGTACTCGTCGAAAAATCTAAAAGTTTGTAAGGGTTAGAGTTTCTCCACGCTGAGCCACCATTGCTCCACGCTACCTGGTACGTGTACTGTACGATCTGTTGCCCTGTCCATCTGGTTCAAGTTTTTTATGGAAGCTGCAACGGCGCCTCGGATACTCTCTCCTCTTACAGTTACTCATACTAGCTAGTAAAAAGGACGACATAAATATCTTGTTGTTTTCCCAAGAAGCTTCAGTTCTGAACATTTGAGTGCCATCCAGGTTCGCTTTGGAAAGACTAGAAAAACTACTGTTACCATGGGCATCAACCCTGACATCTTGGCTCACCAGCCCGTCAACAGAGACTTGGTTTGTTTGATTTGTCTGGAAGTTTTGCACAAGCCAACGACCGTTTGTGGAAATGGCCATTGTTTTTGCTTGGATTGCATCAAGCTTTGGGAAGGGTCAAGACGACGTGCCTGCCCTACTTGCAATCAACCAATGATGCGGCAAAAACCTCTGAACCGCATCCTCCAATCGGTCATCATGGATCTACAAGTGCGGTGCCCAGAGAAGTATGCCTTGACAGAATCTACTGGTGACTCAGCCAGCGTGGAATGTCCGTTGCAGTGCTCATGGATTGGACCCTTGTCGAGCTATCTCGAAAAACACAAACATGATTGTTACTTCAAGAAGACGGAAAGCTGCCCCTTATGCAAGCGACAAGTCCAATGGACACAGTTCTCCAACCACATCGAAAAAGAATGCCCCGTGGCGCGCAACCAAAAAGGCGGCCCAAGCCGTGCCACTGAATCGTCTTCTCGCTCCTTTGCACAAGGCATTCTTATTGTTGGAGGCGTGTTCGTCTTGTCTCTTTTGTTTGTCCGAGGAAATTAATTGGAGAGAAACAAGAAGCATTTCTACTTGCGCAGTCTAGAGATTTGCTGCATTCCGTTGGGCTCCCTCCATGGATGTTTCAGGCCAAATCGTACCAATGGAGAACCATTTGCATTGTTCTACATATATAAATCTAAGAGATAGCAACCGAGAAATCGCCATATCGTTTTTCACTTTGTTGACAGCCAGGATCCAGGACCTTATCCTAGCTACATAGTAACGATTTTCCTGTGTTGCGCTGGTAACTGCACCACGCTTCTCATCTGACAGTGGAAGTTGCCGTGGAAACGAATTTGAAAACCTGAACCCTTTGGTCCAGCATCAGTCCAAATCATGGATGGCCATTGGATTTTGTGCGGGTTCTGGAGCTTCGGCTTGATGAGCATCTCGATCCAAGTGATGGCAATACAATTCTAAAGCCCACTGGCAAAGAACAGCAATTGTCGTGGAAGTAGTAGTCTAACAGGTAGTATCAATCGAGCATGAGACAAGTTTTCTTTATTGCACTCTTCCTGATGTCTGTGGTTGAAAGGATATGCGCCTTTGGCACTCGTCCCAGGCCACTGACTGCCTACTCGCGTCATTTCACGGGCAGTTCTATGAAAGCGTCAGTCCAAGAATCAAGAGCAGAAACAAAGAAACAGCGACCCGCCACGGGCACTATATCAATGAGTGTGAAGAAGGTCTCTGGAGGCCAACTTAATTTAAAACACCAAGAGGAGCATCAGCCCCCTCTGATGAACCTGTTCACAATCAGCAAAGAAGATTTGACAGATATTATGGGATCATGGGGGTATCCGCGATATCGGGCGGACCAAGTGTATCACTGGATCAAGGACAAAGGTGTGGTGAATGTGGATGAAATGCACAACATTCCAAAAAAGTTGAAACAAGACTTGGCCAAGTTTTCGTCTTCATCCTCAGAACAGTCGGAACAGGAATTTGTAACTGGAAATCATGCCACCTCTGCTGGAGGAGCTCTAGAAGTCATACGAGAACAAGTGAGCCCCAAAGATGGAACCGTAAAACGTCTCTATAAATTGAGAGATGGACTTTTGATTGAATCCGTACTCATGCCTTATGATGATGGACGCTGGACAACCTGCATCAGCAGTCAGGCGGGATGCGCTCAGGGTTGCGTCTTTTGCGCTACCGGTAGGTATACCGTATTGACAATCATCACTGAGTGGAATGGTATTCATTCTTTTTGGTTGGGGATTCATTCTGACTTACATGAACGTTCGTTTCTCCACAGGACAAAATGGATTTCAACGACAATTGACTTCCGATGAAATTGTGGAACAGGTCACTCGATTCTCGACTTTTCTCAAATCGAATCAGCTGGAGGTTCCAAAAGGAAACCGAAAGCGACACGGAAAACAACAGCGTCTTTCCAACGTTGTTTTCATGGGAGAAGGAGAACCTCTCGCCAATTTCAGAAACGTCATGGAAGCAGTGCCACGCATTCAAGAGTTGGTACGACCGGATTGTCACTTGCACAGATGGCAACAGCTCTTTCTTGCTGTCCTCACACTGTCGTATCTCCTATATATTGCTAACTAACAGGCAGGCATCGGGGCCCGAAAGATTACTATATCGACAGTGGGCATCGTACCAAACATTCGCAAGCTAATGGAATCGCCCATACAGGTCCGCCTCGCGGTAAGCTTGCATTGTGCTAACGATTTTGAACGCTCGGCATTGCTGCCTGCCAATCGACGATTTGGTGGCCTCCAAGAGCTCATGACGACACTCTATGACTATATTGAAACAACGGGCCGACGATTGACGTTGGAATGGGCTTTGATTGAAGGTGAAAATGACACCCCCCGGGTAGCAAGACAGTTGGGGGACCTTCTGCTTCAATACAAGTTGCGTCGTGATATGGTTCATGTGAATGTGATTCCTCTGAATCCCACAGGCGGCTACAAGGGGACTGCATCGGGCAAGAAGCGTGTCGATGAATTCATTCGAATACTTGATGAAGAGTTTGGCGTTTCCTGTACTCCCAGGGTTCGTCGAGGCATCGATATTGATGCAGGCTGTGGTCAACTGAAAGCAAAAGAGCTGGAAGCAGAAGAGAGGGAGGAAGAGTTGAAATTGCAAAGCTCAGTGGACAAGCCATATGTTTCAGTTGAGTCTACCACAGTGGACCTGGATAGTTCGGAATCAACAATTTGCATGAATGAAGACGGAGAGATTAGCGATGTTACCTTTCACGGCACAGAAGCAGATCGGCTGATATCGATGGTGAAAGGATCAGTTGTCAAGGATGTTTGAGTACTGCAGTGCTCAACAATTCACACCACCTTCATTATTTCCACGGTTTTGTCTCCTGGGAGGTTGCGCATCTTATGCGTATGGTAGGCACACCTTCAATGCCCCTGCAACCGGTTGGATGTTTCACGGTGGGTTTGGAAGCAATTCTCAATCAAGAGGAGAGCGAAAACACATGTGGACCGGTATAGCCAGCAATCCTTCCATAATTGGGCGTAGACATTGACACTACTAGAACACCCATTCAACAAAACCGCCGATAGTGCAGGTCAGAGTGTAATAAACCATTCCGTACCAAGGAATCATTCATCATTCGAATCAAAGGGGGTATCCCAAGTGTCCTTCCTCGATTGTGAGTGTGTCTCTTGCATTGCAGAACCGTGGATGCTAGCTGGTAGCTTAGCTAGTACCGGTAGAGCCGGTACTAGTACTGTATCCCTAATATACAACTGTAGTCACATGATCGAGGGTATGTGGAAAGGGGGAGTTGTATCGACTGGTGGGACTTACCCTGTAGTCATAGTAGTGAGTTCGCCCCTACTTAGGCCTAAGTATGGTTATCCTTTATTGGGGTATGGTAATACATAAAAGTCATTGAGAGTATTTTGCCGGGGAAAACCAGGCATTTGAGGGTATCCGATACTACTCAAAATAGTACTGTGGGTTGTATCGGCAACCCCAAAATACAACTTTTCGCCTAAGTATCTTTACCAAAATACAACTTCAATCGTACGAAGAACAACTAGTCACACACAAACGTTCCGCGAAACTCAAAGACTTAAGGGTACGGAACGCCTCTCTTAGTACTGAGAGAGGGGAAACACCCAGATGTACGCTCCGAACCAACGCATGTATCCCGTAGTACGGTGCACTTGGCCATTGGATGCAGTCAGTCGATTTTCATTATCTCCAAATCTTCCATAAATTTCGATGGACGCAGTTGAAAAGGCGAAGCTATCGCTGTTTGTTATCTACTCGCTGTTTTGTTACTCTCGCTCTTTTGTCGACAATGGCGAGAAAGAGGAAGTCGCTTGACCAACAATACCGGCCGGCCCTCACCAGGTTTATGTCTTGGAAGCATGGCCGGCAGACACCATATGGTACCACGAGGAGGTTTACACAGGTATGTTGGTTCGTTGGCTCCTTCGCCAAATCTGTCATTTTGGTCGGTCGCTCCACGATTTCACTCTGCCGCTCACACCATGGTCGCTCTTCTTCATTTTTTGTTCTTGTTCTTCAGGACCAGCTCCTAGACATTACCCCTACTGATGTCGCCCAGTTCCTCAACTTCCTTGCCTATGGAAAGATCAACCCAGGGCCCAATGACCGCCCCACCCAGAAGAGATCTACCACTCTTGAACAATACAAGAAGGCCATCAGCCACTTCCATCCGAATCGCCACGCATCATGGACTGTTGGTCCCAATGTTGGGAATCCCACTCGATCCAGGTGTGTCAACGAAGTGATCAAAGCTGTGAAGAAGGCTGAGGTCAGGAAGCAGGGCAGGAAATGCAATGTCAAGAGGGATTTGAAGATCCGGGAATTCCGCAAGACCATTCGCATTGTGGAACGCGATGGAGGAGCGAACATTGACACGACGATCAAGATCCCAACCATGTTGAAGGTTCAGTTTCACTTGATTGGCCGCACTGATGATTTGACCAACATGGAGACTTTGGATCTGCGCAGCCACTCCAAGTTTCCAAACTTCGCTCTTGAAACCAAGGTATCCTGGAGCAAGAATGTCCAGGAGGAGCGTGCTTGTCCCAACCAAATCCTGCTGGGTGCCGCTGACCCTGACTTTTGCGTCCTGATTTGCCTTGGCTATTTGGATCGAGACAAGACTTGAGAGGGGACACGGTGACCCGAAGTTCCTTTTCGGTCACTACCGTGTGACGATGAAGAAGCGTTCCTGGCCGCCATTGAAGCTCTGGACAACGACGAAGAGCTCGATGAGACGACGATCGAGACGGAGCCTGACCGAGTCAACGCCTGGTACCAACGGGCTTTGAAGAAGGCTTGGAAGGACCCTGAGTTTGTGGAGCTTGCCGCTCAAGTCCAGGGAAGCCTCGGTACCCACAGTGTGCGCAAGCTGCCTCCAACCTATGCTGCTGAGTGTGGGATTACCCAGGCCGAGAATGAGACTCGTGGTCGCTGGAAGGGAGAGAAAAATGGACACATCGTCCATGTTTACATCAACTTGGAGCAGCTTCCCACCGACGCCAAGGTTGCTGGAACGCTCGCTGTGGTGGTCCGTCAAGTACAGCATCAAGGCTGACAGCGGTGTTGACCATGGGTTCATTGGTGAGCATGTTTGTCCGAAGATCTGCGACTTCTTCGCTGACGACCCACGCAACAACATCGCCATGGTGCTTGGTCCAGCCTTGCTTTGGGCTGCGATGGAACCTGGCTTGGAGCATATGATGACGGCTGAGATTCGCAACAGCATCCAGACGGAGTATGCCCAGCTTCGAACCACTTTGGATGAGGATCCTGGGGCCGACTACAACCCAGTGGCCAAGATCCCTCTCACAATCTACAAGGTAGCCAATGCATTGCACATTACTGAGTTTGCTCCCACCGCCCAGGTCCAAGCTGGTGCTGAGCCCTTGGTTGGAGGTGCTCCTGTGGTGTCAACATGGAACAGCTCAACCAATTGCTTGCTCTCCAACATAGGACTCAGCAGGCGATCGAGGAGGCCCAGCAGATCTTGGCACAGGACATCAGCTCGTTGAGGGGCTATGTCTCGACCAACATTGCCATTGTCAACAAGAATATTGGGAGGATCAACCACTTCCAGTTGATCGCGAGGGGTGGTGGCAACGGTGCTCCAGGCTTC